AAATGTCAAATTGTTCAATTAACAACACTCTGTAGTAATATGATGAACAGAATGATGATAAATTCAATCGTGCCATAGGAATGCATATGTAGTATTACATAGGAAATCTGGCTCAGTCAGTCCATGCCATTGAATACAATCCATTCAACCATTTTCCCACAATTCCCCATCCAAATTTCTTATCTTTTTGTCATTTATGTAAATGATTTAGATGTGAGCATAGGATGTATGGTTAATAAGTTTGCAGATGACACAAAAATTGGAGGCATAGCGGACAGCGAAGAAGGTACCTCAGAGTACAACGGAATCGTGATCAGATGGGCCGAGGAGTGGCAGATGGAATTTAATTAGGTAAATGTGAAGTGCTGCATTTTGGAAAGGCAAATCAAGGCAGGACTTATACACTTAATGGTAAGGTCCTGGTTGTTTTGCTGAACAAAGAGACCTTGGAGTGCAGGTTCATAGTTCCTTGAAAATGGAGTTGCAGGTAGGTAAGATAGTGAAGAAGGCATTTGGTGTGCTTGCCTTGAGTGTAGGAGTTGGGAGGTCATGTTGTGGCTGTAAAGGATACTGGTTAGTCCACTTTTGGAGTATTATGTGCAGTTCTGGTCTCCCTGCTATAGGAAGGATATTGTGAAACTTGAAAGGGTTCAGAAGAGATTTACAAAGCTGTTGCCAGTGTTGGAGGGTTTGAGCTACAGGGAGAGGTTGAACAGGCTGGGGCTATTTTACCTGGAGCATCGGAAGCTGAGGGGTGACCTTTATAGAAGTTTATAAAATCATGAGGGGCATGGATAGGGTAAATAGACAAGGTCTTTTCCCTGTGGTGGGGGAGTCCAAAACTGGAGGACATAGGTGTAAGGTGAGAGGAAAGAGATTTAAAAGGGACCTAAGGGGAAACTTTTTCTCACAAAGGGTGCTGTGTGTATGGAATGAGCTGCCAGAGAAAGTGGTAGAGGCTGGTACAATTACAACATTTAAAAGGCATCTGGATGGGTATATGAATAGGAAGGGTTTAGAGGGATACGGGCCAAATGCTGGAAAATGGGATTAGGTTTATCTAGGATATCTGGTCGGCATGGACAAGTTGGACCATAGAGTCTGTTTCCATGCTGTACATCTCTATGACTCTGTGACTCTATCACCATCTATTCGTTTTAACATTTGGACTTGTCTGCTTCCCTTAATTGCCTGTATTCTGTCTGTTTCCACCTCACAGGGTGTGGCAGTAAACAGCATGGTGTGCCACTTACTACACAAATTAAATATTTTTAACTGATTAAGTTTTCCAGTAAAATTATGCTTGAAAACTATTTTCGTGATACTTTTTTTTTCTTTTGTATGTAATGATTTGTTTTTGAATTGAAATCTAAAGGAACTTCCAATATATGGTTCTAATTTAGAACCTTGCCACAAATTCTCAAAATTAATGACAGGAAACTGTTTTCAATTCGGAACTAAACACTTCCTAAACCAGTGTACAATAAGAATAACATGTTATTCCTAATGTAAAGTGATGCCATAATGGGCTTAATTCACTTAATTGAACATTTAACAGCACACAATTCAAATAGCCCCTTACTGTAATAACATTCTATCAATGAGGCAATTGGCCTCTTCTAGAGTAAATCATCAAATCTTTGTAGAGCAAAACATCTTGCAGTGTTCCCCTTTCTGTCCCTTTTTCAGTTTGATAAAGTTTTGCCCCAGTAGGGATTGTGGTGAACTGCTGGAGGAACAGTGGAAGTCCTGATTCAATAAGATTTAAGAATTGATAAATTCATAAAATTGGTAAATAATAATTTGCAATTCATATCTTCCCCAGAAGTTGATGATCAATTTATTATTAACAGTGAAAGCTAGTAAACTCCCTTTAGCAGCAGAATCTGGGATATTGTTATGTAGCCTCCAGTGACTAGCCATTTATTTTACAACTTCATTCGATCTTATTTAAAATGTTCATAAAACTATCAATAGAATCTCTTCTTTTGTTGTATATCTGAAAATCTATTAAAGTATGCTGTGTGAGAGAGGTAACTGGCATTGTTATAAATGTTTGTTTCTTGCATGTCTGTATGGAAGCTTTTTAAAAGTCAACCGACACTTCACTGATTTGTTAAATCACACAAGCATTCTCAATTACTTTTATTTCAATAGAAATGTCAAAGCATATTGAATTTGATTAACAAACATTGGGATGAAATAAGCACAAATTAAGCAAAACTTATTTTGAGTAAGATTCCATTATCTTGTTGGTTGACTAGAGGCCTAGAAAATTGAATAGTTTTTGGAAATTTTAACTTGCTGTTCACATTCAATATGTAATGGGATTCTTCTCCTGTAGTTACATTACAAATTTTGAAACTAACGTACACATGTTCCTGAAATGCACTTTCAGTAGGTGAGATTAATCACCAGAAATGCAGTCAAAAAAACTATCCCTTTCAATTCAACATGAAGGAAAAGCAACAAAAACAAACCATAACTTTTTAAGTTCAATTGGCAAATATGGTGGGCATATTTGGCATATGTAAATATGGCCCATTTGGACATGTACATTTGAAAATCACATTGGACATTGAGCAATAAGTTCAAATCAAAATGTAGAAGATTTACCCCAAAAAAGGAATGATTGACATAGACTACTTTTGATTATAAAATACTTCCGTCCTACATAGAAGTTCACTTTGTAAGTTTGACTAAAGGTAAGATATCAATTGACATGAAATCTAATGGTTTCCAACTGCAAGCGACAAACACAAAGTAACACAATCTATGATTTCATTTGAAAAGTAATTCAAGATATTAGTAAACATGTAATTCCAATGCTTGAATTATTAAGGGTTATGAAGAACTTAAAATTGATGCTTTATTCTTGTAGGGCATTCTTTGCCTACAAAATATTGGAATTACAGGCAGAAAAGTTTGCTTCAGTATACTTATTTTATCCTGTATATTGCCATTAAATTCTGTAATATTTTAAGCTCTAATGCTGATTTCAGTTGTTAAATTTATTATCTACTGTCCTTCTACAATTTTTTTTCACAGTATGCATATTAATGTAAATATAGTTTAGCCTTAGCATGAATAGACATAGATTGTTCCTGTCATGGCCATTCTTCCCTGTTGCTAGTGCTATCCACTTCTGGACCATGATCACTTTCTCTGTGCTATCATCATTTCCAGGCAGCACTTTATAGTTATCAGTTATCCACTTTCTATTTGGAAATATTATTTTAATTCCTCATCCCTCCCAACTCTGGCAGGTACAAACAAGCTTAATTGGCAGCTATGCTTCGCCTATTCACCTATGATCCTCCTCAGCTATGTCTGAGAAGATTTGCAAATATACAATTCAGTCATCTTCGAATGAATGACCCCCCTTTCTTGACTGACAATCTTACCCAAGCCATAAGTGCACCAAGTTGCACTACAGTGAAAAGCTGTCAACATGCTATATCAACTTGGCTGATGATGCTTCAGATAATCCTCTGTTATTTAAGCCCAATAATTCCAGAGGTGTCATTTTATTTTAAACTGTGTATGTTGAAATAATGCTGATCATACAATATAGACCTGGTTGTCTGTCAGTCTGTGGGTCTTCAGGTGATTGTCTGTTATATTTTGTTTGCAGTGCAGCAAAATAACATTATCACCCTATAATGTTCCGATTCATCCATCTAATTGTAGAAGCTATTGTAGTTAATCTTACTGGGTGAGCACGTAATGTACTGGTATCAAGGTCTCCTCCCTGCTATTTTACTGAAAACATCTGTCTGAAAAATTCTGCTAAATCTTTAATGAAATCTAAAATAAAGGAAAAAAACACTTGATGATAAACTCAGCAGCTTCATCGACATCTCTTATTTCCAAGCTTGTTGAATTGGGGGAAGAGGTGGTTTTGGTCATAGAACAAGTTTGTACTGACATCAGTAGATGACAGAAGTTTGTTTTGTACTCAATCCATTTACTTTATCAGAAACAAAAGCAGAAATTGCTGGAAAAGCTGAGCAGCATCTGTGGAGAGAAAGGTAATGAATTGTTTTATTTTCTTCAGAACTAATGGACGTAGCAATGGATAAGAAAGTTAGGTCATGAATGGGAGCATTGATTTGAGTTCTGAGGAAGAGTCACTCAACCCAAAATGTTAACTCTGATTTCTCTCCACAGGTGCAGCCAGACATGCCAAGCTTTTCCAGCAATTTCTGCTTTTGTTTCTGATTTACAGCATCCACAGTTCTTTTGGTTCCCATTTATTTTATCCTTCATTAAAATAGTAGACAGAGGAACATGCTGTGGTTTTCTTCAGCATTTATGCAAAAATAAATGGAAAAGTCAAATATCAAGTTTGAACTCAGTAAATTTAATGTGAGAAATAATTTAACATAAATGTAATATCAAAAACCAGAAATAAAATCAGGAAGGGGAAGTTGAGTCCAAAGTTGGACCTCAAGCAATATTGATCAGTTTCTTTAAACATAAATTTTAAATCTTATGGTTGTCTTTTTCATTTGCATCTAACTCCTAATTTGCTGCGTAGATTAAGTTGTGTAAATAAAGGTAGTGAATTGTTATATTTTCTTCAGGAATAGTGGACATGGCATTGAATAAGATATTTAAGTAGTGAATGAGAACATTGATTTTTCACAGTGATTATTTACTTGAATTAGTTTATTGAAGATGTTGAACTCCATTGATCAGTTACTGTAACTGGGTCAGGTTGAGTGTGAATTATCCAGTCCAACTGGAAGGATTGGAATTTTGTGGAAAGGTGAGCTGGATGGACCAAAAAGGGTGTTCCACCTGTGCTTATTTTTATCTTTGCAGCAATGCATATAAAATGTTGACAGTTTAATCACATGATCAAATATTTTGTAGAAACCTAACAGCAAGGGGCTTTATTATTCATTTTACAGGCTAGTGTTATTGCTGATCAGTGTAATGAGTTTTTCTTTTTATTATATCTTTTTTTAAAACTTTATTCTTATTGTTTATTGCAGTTGGGATGAAAGTAGTTCCGTAAGCAGTGGCCTCAGTGACACCTCTGACAACCTTAGTTCTGAAGATTTAAATGCAAGCTCATCCCTCAACTCTTATCCAACTACACCAGTTGCTTCCAGAAGAAATTCTGGGATAGCGGTAAGCAGAATATTTTAATAACCTATTCAAGACTTTCTTCAAAAGCATCCATCTCTGGACAATTCAGTTTAATCTAGATTGTTGCCCCAGACTATAATTATTTCAGTTATTGGAGAACTATTATGTCCAAGGATGTAACTGTTGCTGCTGTTCTTGTCCTTACCTTTTTCACAGAGTCAAATGCCGCTTATTTTTGATTGTATTATCCAACAGCTTGCATTAACTACAGTAATACGAACATAGTTCTGCCTATGTAAAAAAACCCTTATTTATGCGATGTTTTTCCATCTCCCGTTTTTTCATCTCATGTTTTTTGGCTGTGACATCGTTCTCTGTATCAATCATGAAAGAAAGAAAGAACTGTGCATTTCTCAAGCTTTTTACCAAGCCCTCTCTCCTTTTTATATTTTGAGGATTTTTGCCAAGTATTATATGACTGTGTTGTTTTACACAATCCTCTTTTGTTGAACATACTATTTGGGTGCAAGCCAAGGAGTGTGTTATAACACTTTGTTTTTGGCACACAACAGGACAGTGGCAAAGGGGCATGATTGATGTTGCATGCAAATGGGAATTAAAGGGGTTGAAGCTATATAGTTTTTGCACAGGCACTTCATAATGTGTAATGTGGAAAACAGCCAAGTAAACATGTATAATCTAGTGTATTATAACAGAAAGCAGAGAGATTTGTACAGTAGTGCAGCTGTGTTAATGTTAACTTTTGAAAGACATATATAGCAATGATTCTATTTGCTTGTAACTGCTCATCTGTAATCAGGAATTTACTGTAAAGACATTTGCCAGATGCAGCATGTATGCGTGGTACTTTCTTTAACACACAGATGTGTGTGTGTGTATATATATATAAATTATGGTGTTCCACTTTGAGATTGAAAGAAGATTGTCTCTGAAACTGACATCCACTACCTATATCGCAGATGGTGAATGTGGCAAGCCGTAAATCCCAATAGAAGGAGTAAGTCTGTTAAAAAGAAGCTGGTTCTCTGTTGCTAGTTTTTCAATGGTGAGTTTGGACATTAATCTTGAAGCAAAATTTCTGCTTATGTTCGGTTGCTATTTTTTCTGGTTGTGTACAACGCCACTGAAGAATATTTTTAACCAAACACCGAGACAAACTACACTTTTATTTTCCTTTTTGTTTTTTTTAAGTGATAAACTGCAGGGAGCCATGGACAGTAACTGTGAGATAAACAGTAGTATGCTGGTATAAGAGTTGGGAAGTTGCATAGTTTTAGTATAATGTTTATATGATAAGACAAAAGATATAACTATAAAGTGAAAGCAGTAATGAGGTTTCTGAAATGTGTAGTGACTTTATTGTTGTAAGACACTGCACAGGTACAGAAATTTTTGAGAGCGAGTGTATCTGTCAGTTGTACAAGTTAAATTTCAAGCTTTTCAGGTTTTAATTCAATAAAGTATCAAATAGCTAAATTGCATTCAGTAACTTTCTTGCAATAACGAGTTTAAGGGCATGAGTTAGATAGAGACTGCATTGTAAGGAACAGATGCCTGAAAGTTCTGAAAGTGCACCACAAGTTTAAACATCTGATGTTGTGGTCTGTTTATAATACCGGATTCTAATTTATGAAGCATTTAAATCATTTGTAGGATGCATCCATGTAACTTGAAACAAAATGGGAACCCCTAATTGTCATATGTCAGTGTAGAACTGTGTTTTAAAATGTTTAATTAACTGAAATGAAATCTTGATTCTAAATATGGTGTGTTTACAAATAAGAGCTTGCAGTTTACTTTTGTCAAGGTTTGAAATGTCGTGCTCCAACTAACTCTGCAAGTGCTTGTGCTAATGTAGAATAGATCAGATGCATGCTATTTTATAAGCAATTTAACTATTTGCAGATAATTGAAAACAGAAGTGTAGGATTTATGTACGTTACAAAATTATTTAATTCTGGATCAGTTGGAGCAGTCATTGGGTTAAAGATTTTCACTGCTTTTTTGGTAGTCAGCTGTTCATTTTTGACTGTAAGGCCGATTACAATAAAGTGCTTTGATTCAAACCTTGATTCGAAGTGCCTTGAATGAGGTTATTTGTATAGATTGTAGCAAAGAAAGGCAAGGAAACTGAATGCGTGCAGGCATGCAGCACTAATAGATGCTGCTAACACAACTTGTTCTAAAGTAGTGCTGCATTGGTTATTTAATTAAGTAGCTTGGCACTGGAGTTTAGCCACAGCTGACAACAGATGAGTCACAAGTCTGCCATTATCATACACCACCATGTGTCGAGGTGTTTTACTAACTCCTCTATGACGGAGAGAGAAAGAAAGGAAACAGATTTTCCATCTTGTTTCGAACAATATTGAACATGTATCTGTGCCCAGGCTTGGTCTCCATCTCTTCTGTTGGAGAATGGTATGATTGGTGACAAAGCTGACACTGCAGTCAGTACCGGAGAAATTCTGCACTGTCAGAGGTGCCATCTTTCAGATGAGACATTAAACAGATGCCCCATCTGTTCTTTTGGGTAGATGTAAAATACTCCATACTGGGAGAGTAAGAGACTTGTATCTAATGTCCTGGACAGTATTGCGTCTCCATCAACATCAGAAACCGTTTTGTTTAGTCAATATCACAATGCTGTTTGTGGAACTGTGCTGTATGAAATATGGTTGCCACATTTCCTACATAGTGACAGGAGTACTTCAATGTCTGCGAAGTGCTTTAAGCTGTCTGGTTGTAATGAAAGATATTATAAATATGCAACTTCAGTAATAGAAGGGTTTGCAGGCTTATGAACTGGGATTATACTCATTGGAATTCAGAAGAATGAGGGGAGATCTTATAGAAACATATAAGATTATGAAGGGAATAGATAAGGTGGAGGCAGGGAGGTTGTTTCCACTAGCAGGTGAAACTAGGACTAGAGGGCAATGCCTCAAAATAAAGGGAAGCAGATGTAGGACTGAGGTCAGGAGGAACTTCTTCACCCAAAGGGTTGTGAATCTGTGGAATTCCCTGCCCAGTGAAGCAGTTGAAGCTACCTCGCTGAATGTTTTTAAGGCAAGACTAGATAAATTTTTGAACAGTAAAGGAATTAAGGGTTATGGTGAGTGGGCGGGTAAGTGGAGCTGAGTCTCAAAAAGATCAGCCATGATCTTATTAAATGGCGGGGCAGGCTTGAGGGCCAAGATGGCCTACTCCTGCTCCTAGTTCTTATGTTCTTATGAACAAACTCGTAGGTTACAATAAGTACACTTTATCCATTGACCTCACCAGCTTGATTCCAGTAATACAGCAGTTAGTCCTCTGTTTAAGTCATAGAATCCTGACAGTGTAGGAGCAGGCCATTCAGTCCATCGATTCTACACCAACCGTCCGAAGAGCATCCCACTCCGATCCACTCCCCTACCCTATCCCTGTAATCCTGCATTTCCCTTGGCTAATCCAGAGGAGATGGGAAAACATCACATAAACAAGGGTTCTTTTATCATAGGCAGAATTATGTTCATGCTGTGGAATTGAACACAGATCCCTGTACTGTCAGGTGGCAATGCTAACCACTGAACCACTGTACCACCCTAATGGAAAGCGATTAAAGAACATTTTGGCACAGAGGGAGGCTGAGTGGCCCGGTCAATCTCACAATGTTAGTCTCGGTATAGAAAGCGATTGGGAAGGAAAATGGAATATTGAAATTTATTGCAAGAGAAATGAAAAATAAGTTGGAATTTTATTGCTGTTGTATTGGGCCTTAGTGACACTGTATATGGAATATCATGTACAGTTTTTTTGTTTTCATTTTTCTGAAAAAGGTAATAGTTTTGTTAGAAGTTCAGAGAAAGTTCACTTGACTAATATAAAATGAAGTACTTTTCTTATGGAGAAAGGATGAGCAGATAGGGCCTATATCCAATGGTGTTTAAAAGAATGAGAGGTGATTTTTTCTGAAATGCAAGAATGAGCAAATATGAAAGGTGGATTCCATTGTAGTTGAATCCTTGCCACTGCTAATCATGTTGTATGAGCTATCTATTCAATTTACTGCCACATCCTTTCTCTGATAGGAATCTACAAGGCATGTTTGGTAATGGAAGGAAACCTCTTGATAGTTCAACAAGAAGAGATTCTTGTTTAAACAAAATTTGATTTACTGCAGGATAGCAGCTACGTACAAGTCACATCTTTATCATAGATACCATTACAGAATCTAAGGCTGAGAGCCTAGTGGTAGATTGTACTCCCTTGATCCTAGCTGTCTATAAGACATTTTTCATAGTGGGTGGTGCTTAAAGCACATCTCAGTGTTAATTCTTTTAGATGCTTATATCTTTACACAACAGACACTGGGGAGATCTTGTAGGGGAGGCTAGACAAATGGAAATAGAGAATTTTCTTCTCCAGTCATTGTTGTGTGGAATTCTGTTGGGCAGAAAGCTTCGGAAACTGGGTCATTGAATTTATTCAAAACAGAATTGGATTTTTTGAAGAAGTGGAATCAAGATTTGTGGAAAACATAGAAAAGTGGATTTGAAATGATGGCCAGATCAACCTTGATCTTATTGCTTTGCAGAACAGGCTCAAAGGACCAAATCTCCCTACTGTTGCATTCAATGGGCCATTCAGCCCATTCTGTCTTCACCTACATGGCAAGTAAGCATTATGACTAAGTACCATACCCTTGCTGTTTCCCAGTAACACCACACACTGCTATTCAAATAATCCAACTAACAGACACTTGAATCACTCAGTTAAACTTGACCTCCACCACGCATCCAGGCTGTGCGTTCCAAACCATATTTACTCACTGTGTAAAAACATTTTATTTCACATTGCATTGGCTTCTTATGCAAATGAATCATAATTGTGCCTTCTCATTTTTGATCTGTTAATGAGTGGGAACAGTTTCTTCCTGTCTCTGTCCAGAATAATCATGATTTTGAAAACTTGTATCCAGTATCATCATCTCCTTCTCCTCTTCGAGGAAAACATCCTACCTCCTCCAATATATCCTC